TGGATGAATGGATGGATGAATGAATGGATGGATGAATGAATGGATGGATGGATGATTGGATGGATGGATGGATGGATGGATGGATGGATGGATGAATGGCTGGATGGATGGATGGATGGATGAATGGCTGGATGGCTGGATGGCTGGATGAATTGTTGTGTGGTTGCACAGGTCGTGGCCTTGTTATTCGTGCTCTGTGTTTGCACAGACTCACGCTCACCATTGTGCGGTCCATCACCCCCAGCCCGTCTTCACTGACTGCCAGCCACACTTGGTCCTGCTCAATGGAACATGGAGGAACTGGCTGTGGACAGAGGAAACCAACAGATGTCCTTAATCTACTAAAACACAACTTCCGTCCAGGTCCAGTTCAGCGTCTGGGCTCTTGTCGGGTCTTTATCAGATGGTTTTACCTTGACACTGAAGAGTTTAGCTCCAAACAGAGGCCACCTCCGAGCCACAGTTAGATATATCCTCACACACTCGGACGGACTGCACCCACGAAGCTTGGACCACTTGGCAGCCAGACACTCGCTAACATCTCTGAATGGACAACAGTGGCTTTAGATGCCTGTCTTCAGTATCAAACTTCCTCAAGAATCTTTGTCTCATGCAGCCATCCTCTGCCCTGGGGACAAAATGATCCACGAGGCCTCACTCTGAAACGGCCTCCGGGGGTTATTTGATCCAAGGCAGCAGGAGGGTTAAACAATCGGGGGGCTCAAGAAGAAGATTTCAAACGGAACAAACGGTTCAATGTAACGAAGACAAGCAAGATAAAAAATACATCATGGTGATGTTTTACCTGAGCTGCTCTGAGCTGCACTCCTGTTTGTAGCGTTTGGGATAGAAGCGCTCTAAGGCCTGAAGAAGAACCAGCTGAGATTTAGCCTGAGGAGAGCCGACAGGAGAGGAAACACCTGACCGCTCAAAGTCGCCATGTTCCACCTGAAGACAGGACAGAAAGGCTTCAGTGACCACACGAGACCAAGCGCATTAAAGGAGGCAGCGCAGAGGGACGATCCTGGTGAGTGGAGGGAGCACGCTTATCCACCACCACGTGCAGTGGCAGAGCCAGGGGGTGGCCAGAGGGGGCCTTGGACACCGTACATGCACCAGTATGCAATTAGCAATACGCCAGGCTGTGGTAGCTCAATGGTCAGTGCTGCGGTCTCATAATCCTGAGGTGACAGGTTCGAGCCCAGGTTGGGTCAGGAAGGACAGCCAGCGTAAAACAATTCAAATTTTTCACACAAGTTCACTGAAGAAGGGCGCGACCAAAAGAAAGTTCTCCTACATGTAGCTAAACAGTAAAATGGAAGGCGGTGCCTCACTTAGATTCCAAGTCTCACAACATGCACGTGGACCGACGGACAGAGTATTTCCAGTTCCCCCTCCGCTACTGGTTTGCAAATTTAGCTTTAAATCATGGATAAAAGATCATTTAGCTTTTAGCTGCTGGTGTGAAAATGTTGGCCTTTAATTCATTTCAGTTTATTTAAATAGCTCCAGTTCACATCACGTGTTGTCTCAGGACACGGAACAACACACGTGAAAAATGACAGTTAGTAAAAACTTTCGATCAAAGCCAGAAATTAGATTTGAATCTTTACGGCGTTCTCGTCCTGGGCAGCACACTTTTAGCTGCACTTTTGCCGATTGAACGTTTTAGCTATGGATTTGCTAAATTTAGCGTTTAGCTTTATTTAGCAAACTTAAATTTTTAGTTACAATTTTGTTAATTTTTGCTTCTTGCTGCCATTTTGCTAGCTTTTAGCAACAGTTTAAATTTAGGGTTTTGCTGATTTTAGCTTCTATTCCTCTTGTTCTACCTTTTAACAGTTCAGTTAACATTTTAATCTTCTACTAACTTCAGGAGTCAGTTATCACCTCAACAGTCAAACTGTAATTTCACAGAAAACAACACGTATCTAGTTTATTCCACCATTTCTTGTGTTCTCGTTGTTTCTCGGTGCGTTGATAATAAAGTTTATTCTGATAGTGTTTTCCTTATTTTCTAAATGCAACAAAAGTAAACAAAAGACCAAAGAAAATCCAGGTCAGAGGTTAAGAACACAACGAGTGCCAGAGAGCAGAAGAAGCACGTCTTACAATAAAAGTGTCAGACCTGAGCCAGGAGGGCGGCCACCTCCAGAGCCAGCTCTTTGTTCACAGGAAACAGGCCCTGCTGAACCTCCTCATTCAGCTGGTGGGCCAGCAGGAGGCGCTCTTGCTCTGTCTCTCCTTTGACCTGAGATCTAAAACAAAGCCTGCACACACACACACACACACACACACACACACACACACACACACACACAGATTGTTATGAACCCATAATTTAAGCAAATGCAAAACTGCATAGTTTTAATCTATTGTTTATTAAAATGTGTGAACCTGGAACTGCAATGTGCTAAAAAACACTGAGCAGAAAGAAACTAATGTGTGTGTGTTAACGTGGACGAAGACATGTTTAAAAGCTCGTTGTTAAGAAGAATAACGCTGGGGAGCGTGAGCCCCGCCTCTCGCATCAATAATACCTCTTTTTGTACGTCAGTCGCACAATGCGTGAGCCCTCGTTCTTCCCAGGATGGAGCTCCTTCAAAGCCTGCTCCCACTTGGAAATGACATCACAGATCTGGCAAAAAGGACAAAAGTCTATGTCCATGAAGAAGAGCAGAATCCCCCTGCCCTCCCCCCATCGTTAGTAACAGCAACAGCTAAAAGAAAGTGGAGGTGTTACGCATCAGCCAGCTGGAGATCCAAAACATTATTTTGTGAGCTGTTTGACATGATGGAACAAATGTCACCGAACAGCAAGAACACCACGTGGACAAGACTTCTTCTCCATTAGTGTTGAATTTGATCACAAATTGAAGCTTTCTGCATCTGAAAGCCCAAATGATCCAACACCTCCAGTCAAAACAAAGACAAATGACTCGACACACCAACTGGAAACAAGACGTCTCAGGGATGCGTGGTGGGTTTCATACGTGACCCGAGGCCACATGTATGAGTGCGTGAGCAGCTTTCATACTTAGAATGAGCGTAGGGACAAAATGGGAAATGTCACCCAGTTTCATGGAATGTGAGTCAGAGATGCTTCTAAATAAGTAGTGGGCAATAATAATAATAATAATAATAATAATAATAATAATAATAATAATAATAATAATAATAATAATAATAATAATAATTGGCACACATATGCAACGAGGAGTGACGATGCGTGTGAAGCTGTGGTTGTCAGAATAGTGCGCACATGCAGAAGAAGAGCCCGACTGATATGGAAAGTTTGGCGATAGCCAGTACCGATATTGAACGTGAAGGCAACCACTGATAACTGATATAATGGCTGAAAATCTTTGATCTTGGTCCACCCCAAAGAATCTAAGAAAACAGTGAGTTGGGTGGGGCTTGTTAATTTAGAACAGCTGTTAGCAACCATGAAGCTAAGCTAGTCAGATCCAGCTGTACGTGGACCCACAGCAGGTTTACAGGTGGAGCACTGGTCATAAAACCAGTCTAACGTGCGCTCACATGTTCTATCCTCCACTATTATTAATGCTAAACAACTTTTCTGTACATGAAACACTCGTGTTGTAGAGGCCTGAAGTAAACTGGTGGTGCACTTCTGAGACTGAGGCATTGCCATCTTTACACATGCTTAACCCTGTCCCAGAAAGATTACCACCTAAAAATGTGTCTTCTCCAACATGCTCATAATAAAAGGGTTAAAAACAAAATTAGTGTTAGCACAGAGGCACTCAGGGTCTTGGTAAAACAGAGGCTTTTTCATTAAATAAATGATGACATGGAATGAGTCACTGCGCACCGATGGAGTGTTTCAGACACTGTGCAGGGGAACACATCTGGGCTTACACAGGTGAGGTCCTCCCATACGGTGGGCATGGATCAGGATGATGGTGAATCAGCCAGCTCCCTCTGAAACACTCCAAACATCCTCAGCTCAGTGAGGACTTGAAGGGGCACCAACGCACAGCTTCTCATACATCGGTCGTATTTTGTTCTATTCCAGTAGGTTTCAGTATTTTGTAGTTTCATAATGTCCACTGGAAATTATGTGGCAGAACAGGTATTCTCACGGCAGACCAAAAGTTTTTGTATTTTTACGCACACTTTCAAGCAATGTTTGCTTTGATACAGCCAACGTGAGGAATGTGGTTCGCTCCACTTTTAGCGAGTGTGCAGTGCTCGTACGTGAAGTCCTACCTTGGCTGACGGCTGCAGGCAGTGCTCCAGGTCTTTGCCAGACGGATCATCGGTGAAGAGGGCGAACCCTGTCAGCTGAGGCTTCCTCATGCAGATCCGGTGGTTCAGCGTGTGGAGAAACTCCTCCACTGTAGTGGAGCCATCAAAACCCACCACCTGCACAAGCAATCGAACATCTGCACACTCAGAGGATGGATGGTTTCAGTCAAGCCCATGCAGTGGTACATGAGATATTTTACTGACAAACAGAGATGACTTGAAATAATGAACTGCAAATTTTAATAATTGATTCTTGTGTGACTTGTTAGCAGTCAGAAAATGTGCTGGGCATCAATGTCAGCTACTACCACACTCAATTTTAGGTCCGTATCTGCATCACTGACTGAGTTTAAAACAATTTAGTTCCTGCAAAATTCTGAAATTCATTAAAATTTGTACAATGGTGACATATTTGGAATAAATAAATGAAGTAAATTCAATGTACTTTTAAAATGCATTAAAAAAGTTCACAATCAAACGACAAATGAACATGAAATATAACAAAGTTATAACAGTAAATGGACTGTACTTATACAGCTCCTTTCTGTCTTTACAACAACCTGTGCCTCATTTACCTCCAACACACACACACACACACACACACACACGACAGCTGTCGAGTCACTCCAGAGAGCGACGGTGAAGTGGACTCACCTGGTAGGTGCTGTTCATGAAGTGAACGGGGATGCTGAAGGGCAGTGAATGGTGGTAGGGATTCCTGAGCAGGATGGAAACGATCTCCATCCGTGAAGGTTTGGCCTCGCGCTCTCCATTCTGCAGTGTTCGCTCCACAGATCTCTGACAGTAAACAGCATATTTTCCCACCTCGGTCCTGTGGGAGGAAGAAAAAACAAACAAGATGGTGTGTGAGCAAGGCTTCAGAAAGAACTCGTGATGAACGGTCCTGGTAGATCACCTGGGGTCTGCAGTGAGCTGGAGGTACTGCCGCAGGTACCAGAGGAAATGTTGCTGAGGAAGGAACAGAGCCACACACAAAGACAGAAGCTGCCAACCCTACAGGAACAAGAGAAACAATATTTTACTAACAAGGCCCCTGAGAATTTATTTGGAGTCGTATTGTTTTAATTGGTGCTAATTCATAAACATCCAAACTTTGTTAGTGGATTACTGCTGAGGCACCTGATTGTTTCTTTCAATACTTTACTAATTTATTTCTGTATACTTTGTGTTATGTTACTGTTTTAAATGTGCTATATAAATAAATGTGACTTGACTTATGTCACTCAGTCATGTGTCATGAATGTTGTGACTTTTAGTGACAATAAAAGTCACACGACCTAAAGTAGCAACAAACTGGGTACCACTTCACAATATGGCTCCCCTTATTTATATTAGTTGTAGTTGTAGATACTTATAATGCAGTGATAAAGTATAAGGTAGTAACTTAGTCTGAAATGTTTAGTATAACAACTCTAGATGAAATATAGAGGTAAAGCTCACTATTTGGCAAGAAACTGGTCAGTTTTGTCCCTTTCTCACCCTTAATTAATGCATAATAAGCAGTTATTAATGTGTTTATAGAGGAATTACTAACATATCTATAAATTATTTATTAGCATCTATAAGGGGAGCCTTATTGTAAAGTGGTACCAAAAACTGACAAGAAGAGGAGATTCACGGGATTTTAACAAAAACTGTTGTTTGGGATGTCTGATGTACTTCACGGCACAGTTCAAAGTTGTCATGGGTCACAGAAAGGTGCACTTTAAATCAAAGAAGCACTTGGACATATTTTATGCCTTTTACACCATCACGGGTAACGTTTTATGATGTTTACAGAAACTTCTCAGAATGCTGATGATGTCACACTAACGTTTAAACTGTCTACAGTTTTATTTTGCTAACAAACTATTCTTAGTCCCTCAGTTCTCTTTGGTGCACAGGTGATACGTTACATGTAGACATGTTCCTGAACGTCAAACGTTAAGGCTCTGCTGGAAGCTGAGGCAGTAGCTGCAGTTCTTCAGGGGCTGACCTGTGTCAGGGAGCAGCTGTGTGCCGTGCGGCCGTTGGTCTGTTTGATCAGCTGGCAGTACATTTCATTCTGCAGCTCTGGATGGGTCAAGCACACCTGCAAAGCATTCTGGGCCAGCGACGTATGGTAATCCACAGAAGGTGACTCGACCAGGACGTTGATGAAGAGCTGACAGGACTGCAGACAAAGAACCGTCTAATTATTTTGTACCAGCAGATGGAGACAAAGACACAGAATGTTTCTTGGACAGCAGCACAACTCGGATCACATCACTGGAGGACGGAAGGAGGTCAGAGGAAACAAGAGGCGGAAAAACGTTTTCACTTCAGTGTTTGGCTCTTGTTGTCATCAGCTGGGGTCAAAGGTTAAAGGCGACACGTTGCCTAACATTAGCATTTAACAAAGCTCAACATTGTTAAGAACATTGCAAGAGTGCAGGAAGGCTTTATAAAGCTTTAAAATATATAAAATACTAAAATAAACATGATGTCCCTACTTCACAGATTTTCACCTGTAGTGGGGGTTATGTTCCAGACACCCCCACTACAGGTGAGGGACGAATGTATCCTCGAACAACAAAAGAGGTGGTTGGTTTAAACACACACACACACACACACACACACACACACACACACACACACACA